CATTTCTTGAAATTGTGTATTGAAAATATGCTGAAGCATTTAAACAGTCGAAGTAAAGGGCTTGTAGCTTCCCTGATAAACTATTTTGAATGAGAACGTGACAATAAAGGTCGTTTATTACCCTTGACTGCAGTCAGAGAAGTAAGTTTGATTGATAAGCACATTATACCACTTTCCATACCATAATAACACTTAGAATAATCTTCATAATGGACTAGTTTTTGCCAATATGTAATAAGCAAAATAAGCTATAAAACAAATAAATCAATTAATTACTAAAATATTAGTTATTAAATTAAAAATAAAACGTAAAATCTTTAAAAAATGATATAATAAAAATTATATTGTTTGTCACTTTTAAATTAAGATTCATTTCATAAATCCATCACAATCTGGCAGCGCTGTCGCCATCGTTTGTCACTCAAAGTTGATCACGTCCATCGGAAATTGTTTTGCGATTACCATATATTTATTTCAATCAGTCCTGCCAGAATTGAAGGATTTTCTTCAATATGAAGGACTACACAGTAAATTTCGTCTATTGAACGGCTGAAGGATTTTTATCCAAAAAGAAGGCAATATGAAGGATTCTGGCCGTTTTGCACAATAAAATTTGTTAGAATATGTAATAGGAGTATTTATTGTTTTTCCTAAATCTATTTTTTCACTTTAACGGTGTTTAATTAAGGATGCCCCAATTTGCTGTCAAAAAATTTGCAATTCGAAAGATTTTAACATTTTACCAAAAATTAATAGAACATTTTTATTTTTCAACACGTCTTATTACACACATATCATTACTAAATGAAAATTCTTCATATTGAAAAGAAATAAATATGTAAACGGAAAAAACATATCTAATAAGTCAGGTGATCATGGTGTCTTACACGATTAATTATTCTCAATTCAAGCGGTCATTGTGAGCACTATTTTTTGGAACATATAACAGGGTAGTCCGAACTGTATTCCGAAAACTTTGGCAGCATATTCTGCAGATAAAAATAAGTAAACAATTCGTATAAATGTATGCCCTAAAATGCTTAGTTTCAGAGATACAGGGTGTAGAAGTTTCATTTTTATTTCGAGTTTTTCAAATAATTTCTGAAGTAACATCAATAGTTGGATAAAAATTGGTGTCTGGCAGTTTTTTGACATGAAAAATTTGATTTTGATGTCAATATGACTCCTATTTGTAAGGGGCGCCACCTACATGTGTTTTAACTTTTAACTGTTTTGAAGAGTAATAACTTTTCGGCCGTACCTGTATAAAACTACTAAGTGAAAAAATCTTTGGAAAAAATATACATTTCCGCGATTTTTTTTACGTAAAAAAAGTCTCTTGGTAAAAATCGCTACGAGCAACCGCTCTCAAGATATTTAGAATGTAAATAAGTCAATACATGTCATTCTTGATAAAAAATAAACATGTTGACTATACAGGGTGTTTCAGAAATAAGTGCAAGTATTTTAAGGAGTGGTAGATCTCTATAAAAGAAACATATCTTTATCGTTTTTCAAATAAGTTCAAAATAACGGAGTTATTTTACTTTGAAAATTTCTAAAAAAATTGATTTTTTGCTCAAATTTTGAGAACCACTGGATCTTTTGTGGATTTTCTTTCTTGTAAATTTAATCTACTACCTACATTGTCATACTATCAAGAAATTATGTTTTTTAACTAAAAACTAAAAAAAATTCCAAAATTTTGTTCAAAAAATTCGGAATTTTCAATTTTTTTTTTTCGCGAAAAAAACCTCATGGACGTGTCTCTGGGGTTGAACTAGTGATGGGTTGTTATTTAACTATCTGTTATTTTATAACAATTATTTATAAATAACATAACGCAACCGTTACTACTTCTAAAAAATAACAGATATAAAATAATGACAGGTAGAGATCGGCCGCTCGTGAAACGAAAAACGAAGTCGGCGCTCTGCACCGCCACGAAATTCTATGCTGCTCGAAGCAATTCCAAAAAACAACTAGTATGGATGGAAAACATGTTATTTCGTCAACCATCGATACAGGCGGCGAGACAACGGACAACGGAGTAGGGAATGCGCTACGGCGACCGTAGCTGCTTCGGTCGATGCCGTCGATGGTAGTATTGGGTTTGCAACAGCTTAAAAATAATAGGATATAAAAGAAGCAGGTTTTTTGAAACAGTTGCGGGCATAACGCCTGGCGGTCGAGATAACAGGAGTGGGAAAGGAACGCTGCTGCATCGGTCGATTGTCGATGGAGGCTCGCAATGGGTTGGAGAAGCAGTCATTTTAGATACGTTGTTTTTCAACCTGTTACGAGCATAATAGGGCGGCGGTCGAGATAATCGGAGTGGGAAAGGAACGCTGCTGCATCGGTCGATTGTCGATGGAGGTTCGAAACAGGTTGGAGAATAACGCATCAGTTGTTTTAGATACATTGTTTTTCAACCTGTTACGAGCATAACGGGCGGAGGTCGAGATATTATGGCGCTGTATGTTTCAGTACTTACTTATTAAGTTTCAATATTTAAGTATTTATTTATTCTGAAAAATTTTCAGAATATTTTAAGATTTTTAAAAATGTATACAGGGTGTTTTGAAAAATCTGGTCATTGATTAATCACGATCCTGCTTAAAGCCCTTGACGTAAAAAGCTGATTTTTGGAAAACGGATTGACTTTAGGGTGTAGAGGTTCGATAAGAAGGGATACTCTACAAGTTGGATTCATATTGACATCAAAATCCAAATTTTTCATGTCAAAAAACTCCCAGACACAAAAAAAATACATTATCATCATCTAAATATTGACGTGACTTCAGAAATTATTTGAAACAAATCGAAATAAAATGAAACTTCTACACCCTGTATCTCCGAAACTAAGCATTTTGGGATATACATTTATACAAACTTTTTTACTTACTTTTATCTGCAGATAGATGATGTCAGAGAGATGCAAGTTCTTTCGCTTACCACACACATAGAAGCAGGGTTCCAAAGAAAACAAAAAAAAAACAGCGGCTGTCTTCATCGACCTGTCGGCAGCTTATGACACGGTGTGGCGAGAAGGCATAATATATAAGTTTCTGCGAATTATTCCGTGCAAAGTAACAGCACGACTGCTTGACAACATGCTGAACGACAGAATATTCCAAGTCGTAATGGGATGTGACACAAGCTCTCTAAAGAAACTTAAGAATAGTTTACCTCAAGGAACGGTGCTCGCACCGCTTTTGTGTTCAGCTTATACATCTCAGATATGCCCGAAACCAGGTCAAGAAAACATGGGTATGCCGACGATTGGGGACTTACTATAAGATGCGGCTCATTCGAAGAAGCAGAGGAAATTTTGACGGCTGATCTCGAGAAGTTAGGGAAATATTTCCGGAAATGGAGACTCCAACGAAACGCTAGCAAAACAGAAGTATCGTGCTTTCACCTGAATAACAAACTTGCAAATAGGTAACTCATTGTCCAGTTTGAAAACACTACTCTCAAACATAATAAAAACCCAAAGTACCTAGGTGTTACACTCGATAGATCACTTTCGTTTAAAGAGCGCTTATCAAAAACAGCAGATAAACTGAAAACAAGAAACAACATATACAAAAATTGTGCGGAACATCTTGGGGTGCTTCAGCATCTACTCTACGCTCGTCAGCTCTGGGTCTCGTCTACTCAGCTGCCGAATACTGTGCTCCGGTTTGGCTCAATAGTCCACATGTCCACAAAATAGACGCACAGCTCAATAATACAATGAGAATGGTCGCTGGGGTTATTAAATCCACACCCACAGAATGGCTTCCAGTACTGAGTCACATCCCACCCCCAAGTCTGCGCCGCATTAATGCTCTGTACAGAGAGTTTAACGAGATATTGGACAACAGAGAACTACCGATCCATACATATATTGAGGATGCTAACCACAACCGCCTTCGATCCAGAAAACAACCCACCAAGACCGCACTAAATGCAATTGAAGACGAATGGAACTTCACCAACGCTTGGTATCAGGAATGGACGTCGAAACAAAACAGTGACATGCCATGCGACTTACCAAGAAAAACCTGGTGCACACTAAACAGAATTAGAACGCAGCATAGCAGATGCGCCTATACCTCACACAAATGGGGCAAGAGTCCAAGCCCCCCCTGCGAGTGCGGCAGTAATCAAACCGTGGAGGAATGCCCTGAAACGGATTATAACGGCAGACCAGAAGATTTCCTGTTGGCAACTCCAGAATCAATAGATTATATAAATTTGTTAATTGTTCGTTTGTATTTTTCTTCTTTTTGTCATATACGTACTTTGTGTCTTAATATGCTATACGCTAAATAAATAAATACAATCTGCAGAATATGCGGCCAAAGTTTCCGGAATACAGTTCGGATCGCCCTGTATATAATACTGCTGTCGATCACAGCATTTTTGATCGTGTTATCTTTGTAATAAAAAGTTTATTTAAATACATCTGTGTCCAAAAACTACTAGAAATAAGTTTTTAAAATTTTTCTCCTAATTATAAAATTGGTAAAATACACGAAATTTGGTGAATTTTCACAAGATCTGGAATTTTTTGTGAAGTTGAAGAAATATGAAGGTTTTTTTGGCTCCGTTGAAGAAATTTGTTCGAAAATTTCTGGTAACACTGATTACAATGGTGATTTATGCAGCTTTTAAGTGTAAAAGCCGCAGCCAGAAGAAAGACCAAGGAATGAATTTGGCGAGGTTTTTGGTGTTATTGGTCCTGGTTTGGTTTGGTTGTGACTCTGCTTGTACTCTTTAGTTATTGGGCTGATCTGTATAAATGATTTTTTAAAATGCGAAAGAAAATTCTCAAAGATTGATATTTAATTTGGAAAATAATAAGTGTATTCTTTCGTGTGAATGATTGTCATGTCTACAACCTTTTTTATATTAAATATCAATTTTCGAAAAGTTTTTGTTAGGTTACTATGACGCCGTTTTTTATCGAAAATTTATTACCATGATTTTATTAATATAAAACGGTTTTGTAGTCATTACATGAGGCAGATATTAGAAGCTCTAAGGTATTGTCACGAAAATGATATAATACACAGAGATATCAAACCGGAAAGTATATTATTGGCTACGAGGGAGAATTCTGCTCCCGTAAAATTGGGTGGATTTGGAATTGCGATACAGTTACCTGATAGAAATCTAAATAATGTTCCTGGTAAGTCAGTATACCTTTTTTGTTTTATTTTTTTTAAGTAAAGAAGTACATTTAATTTAGTATTTTTTAATTTTTAATCCATTTTTGGCTACATATTATGGTATTATTCTTGACTCCATATGTTATATTATTATTCTTGACTCCATATGTCCTGATTATATTAAAAATTAACTAATTATTTCACATTTTTTTAAATGGACTCATACTAAAAAAATCTTTTTTTAATCTATTTTTCAATTTGGGCGCCAGAGTAATCAATGTGTAGGTGTGAAAGGTATTTTAGACGTAATTTTATTACTAAACAGACGCCTCCTTTGATGTCGGAATTATGTTTGTTCTATATGAAACACTTAACAGAGCTACTTAGGACAATTAAGTTTGTTAAGGTGTGATTTCACCTTTTTATTTGTTTGAATAATGTTAATTTTTATAAATATATGGAACATTAATATGAGCTAATAGCCTCTAGTATAATACAATTTTATGGAGACATGATATAATATCTATCATTAATATGATATTTTTAAAATATATATTTTTTTAAATATACAGGGTGGCACACCTCATTCGCCTCGGTTGATTATACGAAAACGGAAAGATGTAGAAACAAAATATTTTATGGGTATATGTGGGAAGACAATGTGCATAATTTAAAATTATTTTAAAATGTACAGGATATGTCAGAACTAGGTAAAGGCACCAGTGATTGACAGTGCACCAATAATTGACACTTTAAGATATATATTACCAAAATAAGATTAATGGTCGTTCGCAAGGCATCTTTAGTAAGAAAACTATATTTATATGATGTTTGGCAACATTGTACCAGCTATGACAGACGTCAGCTGATATTTTAGGTTATTACAACGTGGCGAAAGTTTGTGATGCCGGTAGTTTATGAAAATTTTGTTTCATTTGTTAAGGTAAGGTAAAGTTCAAAAAGATAATTTTTTTTGCCATATATAATTTATGTTTAACTTTTTCTGTGTGTTTGACAGTACTATTTATGCATGATTAAAAACGTTTTTTCACATACGTGTTTATTAGTAAGAACGCATTATTTGATGTTAGCGTGGGTGTCAATAACTGGATCATGATATTTATATGTATCCCAATTATTGACACTTTATGTCAATTACTGGAAATATAATGAACTTATGACGCTCATAGTAAAAATTTAGAATTTTAGGCAACAGCCACATCCCTGAATAAGAGATTCAAAAAATACATGCTTCCAGTTATTGACACAAGTGTCAATTATTGGTACATCAGATGTCAGTTATTGGTAATTGATATGTTGCAGACGTTATGGCGCCCAAGAAAAACTATTCTAAAGAGCAGATGGCTGAAGCTCTTGCAGCTGTAGCAAGAGGTGTGCCTGTGGCTACAGCAGCTAAGACGTACTCTGTACCAAGATTGACCTTGTATTATAAGTCGTCAGGAAAGTTACCAGTAGAATGCCGGATGGGACCAACTACAGTCCTTACCGACGATGAAGAAAATTTGCTAGAGCAGTGGATACTATCTTTAGCTAAGGCTCATCACCCTGTTAATAAAGATCAGTTGTTAGATAGCGTGCAACTCTTACTACAAGAACAGAAACGTCCCAACCCTTTTACCAATTCTCGTCCGGGTAGAAAATGGTTCAATTCGTTTTTAAAAAGGCACCCTAAATTAAGCAACAGAGTTGCACAAAACTTAACTCCCGCACGGGAAAACGTTAAGGAGGGGCAAATTAGGCAATGGTTCGAAGAAATCAAAGATTACCTGGAATCTAAGGAGTTATTCCTCAGCAAGGTGCAAAGACTTGCTTGTCTGAGCATAACAGGGGCGATGAAATCAACGCCCACTGCATCAATGGAGGCGCTTCTGGACCTTCCGCCTCTTCACATAGTGATCCAGGCGGAGGCAAGAATGGGACTCTATCGACAACAAAGTGTCTTGTCTCTGGGAAATAGGACAGAAACAGGACATTCAAAGATGGGGAATCCTATCGGGGGACCTCTACTCTAAATGAGATCGGACCAGATGACACCTCTTTATCACTACCACAAACCATTTGAGGTGAACAAAATGGATCGAGGAATGTGGACAGATATAACATCCCTTCAGGATGGACTAACCTGGTATACAGACGGGTCAAAGACCGCTGAAGGAGCAGGAGCTGGAGTATTTGGGGAAAGACCAAGGGTAAGTCTATCCTTTTCCTTGGGTAAACACTCAACCGTATTCCAGGCAGAAATCTTCGCCATTCTGCAATGTGGTGAGAGAAAAATAATAGAAGAGCTTATTCAGATAAGCTCATCAATATATGCTTAGACAGTCAGGCGGCACTTGGGGCGCTTATGAGCCCAAAGGTATCGTCGAGACTCGTCTGGGAATGCCTAGGTGAACTGGAAGCTCTGGCTCGACGGAACAGAATTAAATTATTCTGGGTGCCTGGCCACAGCGGCATCCAAGGCAACGGAAAAGCCGATGAGCTAGCAAGGATCATCGGCATCTTATCTCGGTCCAGAGCCAGTACTGGGAATACCCAAATGTATGGCCTGTAGTGCATTAAAACTCTGGATCAGGGAAAGCAGAATGTCCACTGAAGAAACAGACAGGGACACAGGCACAGCAAGGCTTTTATCCAAGGATCTAGCTCCAAAACCGCAAAAGAACTGCTAATGCTTAGCAGGAATAAATTGCGGATTACAACAGGCCTCTCGACAGGACATATGGCTGTCAAGTGTTACCTGAACAAGCTCAATCTGTATCAAGAAAGTCTTTGCTGCAAACTCTGCGATAAAGATCCTGAAACAGCGGAGCACATAATATGTCAATGCGAGGCTCTGGATCGCAAGCGATAATTTTTATTTGGGAAAGCTAGGCTAGAACCCGAGGAACTATGCTCCCATCCCATCAAGGACCTGCATGGGTTAGTGCAGGCACAGGGATAGGAGAATGGTGCAGATATAGAAAAGGGACAAACACAATAACTTTCACAGGTCGCAGTGTTTCCGGCAGAGGACGGCCCCTTATTGTGGAAAAAAAAAAAGGAGTTATTCGATATCACTAATGATGCAACGCGTGTTTTTAATTGTGACGAGAGCGCGTTTTTCCTTCAGCCCAAAGGTGATAAGGTATTGGCAAAGAAGGGAGACAAAAACATCTATAATGCTGGAACCAACGATGACAAAGAGAACCTAACGGTCTTAGTGACCGCAAACGCCGCCGGAGTGCTTGCCCCCCCTATGGTCGTTTTTAAATACGAACGTATTCCAAGTCACATTGCACATAGTATCGATAAGAGCTGGGGAATAGGACGTTCTGAGAGTGGCTGGATGTGCGGTCAAACGTTCTTTGAGTATATTACCAATATATTCTTCCTTGGCTGATTGACAAAATTAAAAGGTCCATATTATCAAAGTTGTTGATGGTCATGTGTCACACATGACATTTCAGCTGTCCCGTTTCTGTTCAGAAAATGGTATTGAACTTTTGGCACTGTACCCAAACTCAACACATTTAAAAAAGAAAAAAGAATTGCACTCCTCTGAAAGTTCATCGCTTAACACTCGCTTGACATGAGGAATGGGCAAGGAGCGAGTGTTGACAGCATGGATGATGTTGAGTCAGAAGGAGAAAAGGGTGATTTTGAATGTGAAAAGGAGAATAATGCGAAATCAGACGAAAGGAAGTTACCCTTTAATGACATCCAAATAGGAGATTATGTATTGGCCAAGTTTTAGGAGTAAAAGACAAAACATTCTTTTATAGTTATATCTGTATTAGTGCGAAAGATTATAGCAAGGATGATATGAAGTGTTTTCTTCTAAACATCAACAAGTGACAAATCATCCTTTAAAATAATGGAAAATGATATATCTACGATAAAATTTGAAGACGTCATCGAAAAACTGGATCAACCAGAACTTCAAAACATCGGTGATTATCCTGTTAAATCTGTATTGAAATTAAAGTATATCTGTCTAAAATTGGTGTGTCAATAATTAAAACCTGTCAATTATTGGTTCCGTATGATGCCGCCTCTAGCTAACACACTATACTCAGCACGACGATCCTCGAACAACTCGTCCGAATCAACTTTCGCGGCGCGACTAATATACTCTCTCGTCCACATCTCATGGCCCTATGTGCGGTGAGCGTTCATTTCATAAGAGAGTCTTAATTGTGTTCAATTAACTTTTTTTTTTATTTTTTTTTACAGATAATTCTGTAAATTTTTTTCTATGGAACCATTCCGGTATTTTTATTTCATTATTTGGATCCCGCCGACATAAATAAGGCATTTATTATAAGGGACAAATATTGTTTACAAGCTTTTGGTTTTTTGAGATATTTAGAGGATTTTTAAATTGCATGCTATAATTAAAAAAAAATTGTCAACCACCCTGTACATTGGCTTTTCAGAATTAATTGTTGTCTGACATTTTAAAGCAAAAGAAATAAACTTTCCTGAAAATTTTGATTGCTTCGTTTAATATATACAGGGTATCAAAAATTGCTGGTCTATTTTAGATATTTATTTGACATAAAAACTTTGTTATTTCAAATACAACAGTCTGTATTTTTTTAAATAAAATAAAGCAGATTCAAAAGCTCTTTCAAACTATATTAGGGTTTCCTATATCAATCTAGCTCAGATTTTGAATAAAGAGCAACTTTTCAATAAAATGGACAACCAAGAGGGCTAATGTCGCCAGGGCAAGTTTCTAATGACAGTTAGTAGCTATTTTCAAAATCGAAATTAGTTTATGAAGCAATTTTTCTCACAAAACAAAATCACTAGTAACATTGTACCGGCTAGGCAGATCCTCGTGCTCTTATTCTCTCGTCTAAATACTCTCATTCTCTCTCATAATCCTCCTGATTGTTCGGCTAGTAGGTGTAGCTCGAGTACATAATGCTCTCAACGGCAGGGAGCTTAATCACCTCGCATCAGTCATATAAATGCTATTATATGTACTATATACAGCTCCTAGCTCCAGTGGTGC